TTGGCTCGCCCCTTATTCGATGTTAAATTTATTCCGATATTAATCACCAAAAATATTTACTACTGAAAAAAAAAATATCTCCACTGTTCGTCAAATCATCTCTTTTTCTCGCATATACAACGCCAAAACCATCAGATTTTTCGATACGCCTTTCAAATACGATTCCCCGGAGCTTTCGCCGCGTAACAAAAGAGAATAGTTTCTCCTCGACCTCTCTCATCTCTCAACTTTCGTGGCTTCCTTTTGTTGGACACCAACTTGCCACCGACTTCCCTCGGCCACGAATTCATCGGAAGACGAACAGGTCGTGCGCAACTGTTCAAGTTCGGTGTTTCCCGACAAAGTGTTTTCTTTTACATTTCTTTTCTATCCTATTATACGCGGAGGGCCACTGAATGAAGAGTAACGAGAAGGGCGTGCTCGAAGAAAAAGGTGGAAAAACTACCGTTGCAACTTGGACTATTTATATACGGGATAACTGGTGGAAAAGAAAAGGGGTCGCGTGTATGCGTAGGATAATCGTTTATTGGAAGGAAAATTGGATCTTTATCGCGATTGATTTTTTTATATCAATGGATGATGAATTTTCTCTCGTTTATTTCCTATCGAATTGAATTTCACGAGTTACATTTCGAATATTATGAAGATTTCGTTCTATAAATTGGAAGTGTGTATTAAGATAAAAAGTTGATGGAGATTTAATCAAATTACGATATTTCAATTTCTCCTAAGAGATGTGAATCTTTTATATTTATCGAAATTATATTTTTGAAAGAATTTTTTTAATTTCTTTGTTCAAAATTTGCACGATTTTTGAATTATTTATTTAAAATTGAAAATTTACTTTTGTGATATTTTTTACAGAATTTGGATTACTTTATTGTAGAATTCTTGTAATTTTTCAATATCCAACGGCCAGAAAATTGAGAAAATATTCTTGGAGCATAATTTATCTTTAATAATTGCAAGTGTAGCTACGGTAAAGGTAAATTTACATGAAAGCAAAACTTGTGAAATTAGGATATTCTCGAGGAAGCTGAATGAATTCATAAGGGGCCACACGTTTTCCATAGTTTCAATCTTCCACTTCTTCTCTCTTTTCTCTGTTTGTATTTCCTCTTGATCCATTTTGCAACTTATCTATATTTCTTTTCTCGTTTTAATATTTCCTCTTCCTTTATCTATCTTTGTATCTCCTTCTAAATTGTTATTTTATTTCTGATTTCACTTATTTATTTCTCTCTTATATGTTCAGGTAGTTTTCACTGTAAATTATTACAGTTCAAAAATTTAATAGAAAATTTGATTATTCTTGTTTATTTTACAAACAGTTCACAATAGAAACAAGAATAAATTATATTCTTATTATTTTTATATGATAATGATCCATTTATTAATTTCTACAACTTTAATTCTGACAATCTGTCTACTAGTAATTTTCTATAAAATGTCAATTGGATTGTCTCATATTCACAATAGCACGCTCCCGAGTACAGTTTCACGTGCTTATTACACGTTGTTCCGGTAACAGATAGACACCTGTGTAGTGTAATTCACACGTTTACCATGCCAGAGTTCCAAATGTCCACGCGTAATTACGAATATGTACTTCGAGCATGAAATCCAACATCAGTATGTCTCTCAGCCTGATGATACAACTGTCCACGTATTACAAGAGAAAGAGAATATTTCTTGCAAATAAATTAGAAGAAATACACGAAAGAATATCTCAATTATTTATTGTTAAACTTAAAAGAAACTTGGATGATATTTATAATCTACAAATTGGAATTCCATTGGATAAATGATAAAAGCTCGTTGTGTTCAGACAATATCAAGTTAGATAATAGATTCATTGTAGACAGACAAGAAGTATTGATTAATCTTGATCATTCAAATAGAATAGAATAAAATATAGCTTCCTTATGAATAGACAAGTAATACTGACCAGTCATGATCAGACAAGAATAAGATAATCAAATGTATAGACTCGCAAGTACACCAATTATAGTCAGACATAGAATAAAACGAATCAGCACCAAACAAAAGTAATACAGATTTAGATCAAGAAAATATAAATCCATTGTGATAAGACAAAAATTATGACACTAACCATCAATCAAACAAATAGAATAACAAATAGAAAATAAATGGAATAAAATTATAGAAAAATATAAACTTATCGAGTGTGAGATATAATATCATATGACAGATACAAATACATCGCTGGTCAATATAAATCAAACACATGGTAAATATGATATTTATCGTTACGTTACCAAGATATCCAATTACAAAACACAAACAAATATACAGACAGATACGACATAGACTGATACACACCGCCATTTGTCAAAAGATAAACGTGATATTTATCGTCACGTTTAAAATTAATTCAAGTCGAAACTTTCCTGCTGATAAGGAAATAAGGAAGAAAAGGGGAGGGAGGAATGTAAAGGGAATTGGTTATACCAGGAAACGACAAGAAATGGAGGGGGATGTGTAACGCGAACAAAAGACAGAGCGCGCGAGAAGTCTACAAGTTCGACGGGAAACAAGAGCATATCAGGAATTCCTATCGAGCATCCACAAACCGCAGCCAGCAACCAATTTCAAGTTTACGCGCTCAACTTTTCCGTATCTCTTCCACATATCTGCCTCTGACATTCTACCTGTTTCGACTTCCTCGTGTGTGTGTGTGTATTCCATATAAGTATCATCTATACGTGTATATATACTCGTCAAACATTCAAAAGCGTTTTATGGGAAAATATCTTCAGGGGATGTATCCTTACTTAGCAAATGATCCTGTAAACAATTAATCGAAATGGTTATTTGTTCGATGAGACGAACGGATATGGAGTTTTTTTTATTATTAATCTGCTTGCTTGATATTAATTTTTATTCAAATGAAAAATTGCGTTTGAAGAAACGATGAAACTTTGGCAAGAAATGGACCTTAGAAATTTAATCTTAATGTTATTCCATTGTTGTTCCATAAAATTGTGAGTTCTTTGTACTTTTTCTTTTTATTTGTTTGTTTGTTTGTTTCGTGATATATTAAAGAGAATTATTTTCCAATGATGGAGATATAATTCAGTCTTCTTCCAGATATCCAATTTGGTATTATATCTTTAAAAGAAAATTTAAATTTCTTTCGATTCGCAATTCCTCGAAAATCGAGGTAAAATCGCTTTAAATTTTTTTTTCAATATCTCTATAATTTCTTTAATTTTTTAATTCACAATTTATAATTTTCAGGGGTGAGAATCTGTAGAAATCTCATTCCCAATAAAGAATTCGAAGTTTCGGTTTTATCTATCATTCTAATAAAATTCTGAAAAATTACTGGTTTGCTTGTTCTATGAAAGATTCTTCGGTTAATTGCATTCATCCAGCTGGCTAAGCATAAAAGGAGGAGGAATACACGGAGATATACGAGGAAATAGTAATTAAACGCGATGTTTAATTGAACGAAAGTGGCACAGTCGCAGGAAAACGTGGATTAGTAAGTTTTCGATGAAGTTCCAGCTACTTTTTCATCGTTAAATACTCACGATTCGTGCAATACAATATTTTATTTTCACGAGCCATTTAAAAATTCTTATTATCTTGCATTTTAAGGTATTAGCAGTTCCTGATAAATATATGAAATAATATTTTTCGATATTTCAATTATTCGTTATTTTATTTTTTTAGAATCAATTCCAAAAATGGAAAAGTTTCTGGCCGACATTAATTTTTGATAAGTACAAAAAACAATTATGAAACAGAAAAAATGCCACGAAATCGAAAATGTGAAAGAGAAATCAAATATATTAAAAATTCTTTATCATTTTTCGCATTTTTTGGAAAAATTCATAGAATAAAAAATCGAATGACGTATACGTTGTGTCATCTGTCATCGAATATATCAAGTTTTAAACGTCGATAATATTTGTTTCTTTTTTTATATTTTCTTAATATTGGTTTCTTATTTAAATTAATTTATCCATCGTTTGCAGGATAGGCATATGCGAATGTTATATTTATACTAGAGTATTTTTAATTCATTGGTTTTCATTGTAGTCGATTGGCAATCAATTTTTCTGTGGCGTATTACTAGTGCTATCGAAACCATTCAAAAAGTTTTCAATGAATAATACCATTCGATATAAAATCCCAAACAACACGATGGATAAATGACAATAAAATAAATCGCTTTTTTTTATTTTCATTCCTATTACCCAATATTCTATCGCCATGTACTTCTGACAATAAAAATGTCAATAACGAAAACCAATGTGCTCTTCATAGATGAATACAATTTATTTTTTATGCAATGAAAAAGAAAAGTTTTAAAACACAAGAATAATATTGGAACAAATATATCATTACAATCAAAGAATATTGCAATTTCAAAATATCAATAATAATTTGTAATACATAGTGTATCTACAAGTATTTATTAAAATTAAAAAGATTAATACAATAATTAAATATTAATAAAAGTTATTAAAATAAATTCTCTAATCAAAATTATATAAAAATTAGAAATATTGAATACCATATAAAATAAAATGTCAAGTTCTTAGAATATTTTTAATCGCAAGTATTATTTATATAATCATTACATAAAATAAACTCAAAAATAATTTTAAATATACAATAATTGCATAATTGATCAATTAATTTTTAGTTTTATAAAATCCATTTGATTATTCCATGCAATCTTCTCGCATGAACCCCTTCAACCGAATGTATAATTATAATTACCGGGGAAAATTGTATGAACTCTTATTATACGAACAATATACCTACAGAATTTAAATATATTCATGAGATAGCCACCTTCCAAGGCCAAAAACACTTCAATATTCAACTGTCTATCTCACTCTTCCTTCGTCTCGCTTCATGTAAACATTAAAACTATTTACAGCTTAACTTATCTTCCAATCACCTCGTTATTTCTTCTGTTCCTTCTGTACCTTCTACATAAATACTATGAATCAGTAGTATACATAAATAGAATGAATCATCTAACGTTCTTCCCACTAACACAACGTCTTGCCTGTAAACAAACTGCTTCGTTACAACGACGTAGATAACGACGATAATAATTAAAGCGGGAGAACGCCACATCGATGATTATTGTGGCCGGCAGCAGGCGTAACGAGAGTGAGCGTGCCATAGAAAGCGACCGTGGGCGCCATCGAACGTAATTGCTAATTACGGTAACCTAGTTATTTTAACCCTTTGCGGTCCCGCGTAAAAGCGACCCGTTTATTTTGGGGCGACGCTAAATTTGACGTTCAGCTTGGAACGAGTACACGAGGTTAGCGGCGAGGGAAATTGGCGTGACGGAATCCTCGAACCGGGTCCTTCCTCCCTCCGGCATCGTTCGTACATCCGCTTGCCCAGTGAGACGTGGACGGGAGTCCAGTTTGCACATAGTCGAGCCGTGGTTAATTTTCTGGCTTGTAACGTGGTGGCCGCCCAAGTTTGACGATTGTTCGATTTTGCTTGTAAGTGGTTTATGACTGTCCCTTTGAATTGCGGATGAATTGCGTCGCGTAGACCAGAATTGGAACGTTTAGCTTAGTAGGGAGGAGTAGAATCGTGTGAATATATATATGGTGTGATGGTATTGTGCTTACACAAGTGGAGATTTAAAAATCTAATCAGAGTTAAATGTATGTGTATAGTTGTGAAGAATGAAAGAAATAATACGATATTCTTCTTTTACAGTGTTCGAGTATTCGTAAGCAAGAAAAGAAAAATTTAAATATTGTAAGTATGTTAATCTTTATTAATATGTTTCATCACGTTAATGATTTATCATCTTTTCTTTTCTGTTTCAAAATTTGTTAAATCTTTGAATCATTAGAGAAACATTATAATTGAAAAGCCAAGAAGCATGATAGAAAGGGAATATATGGAACAAATAACGAAGTAAAGAATATTTAATTGTCTTTGTTAATATATTTAATATATTTAATTGTTACAATGATCTTTGATATCAATACTTGTAAGCTTCTAGAGAATTAGCCTGTATTTCCTTTCTCTCTCCTTCTTCTCTCATCCACTTTCTATAAAAAAAATCATGTCATATCGTGTAATAGAATAATGATATTATTTAAAGAAGTCACGATTCGTTCGGCTGAGAACCAGGGTCCCCATAAACTTTAAACTTCACGAGAGATCCCTAAACTAATTTTTGAAAAACTGAATTTAACTCCGTGCCTGAAATGTTCCGCTACCTTTCCAATGATCTTAACTGCTCTAAGTAAATTTCTTTCTCTTCTGCTAGGAAAATTTT